TCGGCATTGCCCGCACCGCGGGCGCTTAGCTAGTACTCTATTATAGGCAAAAAGAAGAAAAACAAAGACAAAAAAAACGGTCCCTCTGTTACTCTCGAAATGTGCAAAACGAGAGTGAATCTCCCGCTAGAACATGGAAAGATACACCACCATGATATTTGTGTTCTCGATAGATGTGGCATGAGCGCCGGCGGGCTGCTTGGAGCACCCCGCACAGCCTGGCGACTCTCTCTCTCTCTCTCTGTGTCTCTCGCACGCGCCAGAGAGAGAGAGAGAGAGAGAGAGAGAGAGAGAGAGAGAGAGAGAGAGAGAGAGCTGTGCCGCTCCACTACTCTTGCAATGTGCAAAACGAGAATGAATCTTTCGCTAGAAGATGGAAAGATACACCGCCGTGATTTTTGTCACAAAAGACAATAATCACGGCGGTGTATCTTTCCATGTTCTAGTGGAAGATTCATTCTCGTTTTGCACATTGCGAGAGTAGTGGAGCGGCATGGCTCTCTCTCTCTCTCTCTCTCTCTCTCTCTCTCTCTCTCTCTCTCTCTTGCAGGCACGCGTTCGTGACACTTGCAACGAGAATGAATCTTCCTCAACTACACAGGTAGGGACAAAGGGGAGGGCAAAGGCAACCTCTAGGCGGGAATTGGCTGTCTTGGCAGAGGGGGGAGGGAGGGGATCTGTTCCAGGTTGGGGCCGAGGTGAATCTCCTCGGCGGAGGCAGCGTGGGACAGGGGTGGTGGCATAGGGGAATTTTTTTCTCTGCGAAGTGACTACATGTTACATTCAGCTTTCCGGGGTTCTGAGAGTTAGAGCAGTATCTAACTTTCTTCTTCGTTAGGATCTTCGATCTCAGGGATGGTTATACCTGGACTGACATCAGTATGGTTGCTCTGTTCTATGCTCTTAACTTGCCGATGCCAGAACGATGCTGGCCGGAGCTGGGGTGTTACCCTGTAACCTGCTACAGTAGGAGCGTGAGGCCTTGTAGAGAGATCTGGGGTTTGTCGAGGGAGGAAGGCAATCCAGTGGTGAATTGGGGGGGCCGCCTTGACACCCTCTGGGTTAGGGATAGTCTCGGTGGCGAGAACAGGTCAGCTATGGTTGATGTTGTTTGGTTGATACTGTCTTTGAGTAGTAGTGTCCTGGTACAGGGAGGGTTAGGAGCTGCCCTCGGATTAGGAAGCCGGAGTTGCTGATATATCCACATACTTTAGATCATACTTGCGGCGCATCGCGATGCGCTGCACTGCGCACGTGCGCCGCACCGCGCATCCCGCACGATGCGTGCGCACTGCATGCGGCGCACCTCCAAAAATGAGGGTAAAAAAAAAAAAAAAAAGGTTGTGAGGGGCGGTAGTAGAGCCGGCCCCCTGCTCGCGTAAAATAAGAAACGGGCAGCCAAATTTTTTTTGGAGGCCGCGCATTGGCCTGAAAGCTTTTAGTAATCTGTAGTTCGGGTAACACTCTGTGTGTATGGTAGGGTTATTGCAGTCTGTATGGTAGGGTTCTTGCAGGCCAGATTCAGTCATGATGAGGGTAGCGATTTCTCAAAACGTTCTCTTC